TACCCACACCCCCTCCCCTACCCACTTTGATGCATTTTTCAAATTTCGCCTTGGGGCGGAGTTATCTTTTCACAGGGGGGTAAGTTACACTTTAAGGGCTCTCTAATTTAGCTTATAATGATTGTGTATGTGTTGTCTCTGATTATGCTTAGACGTTTATGAGTTAATATGTTTTAGTTAATGCTTATATTTTTATGTTTTTATTTCTTCTGTCTTGATAAGCTTTACTCAGTCATTGTTAACAGACCATTAGTCAGTGTTCATAATTAATCATTAGTTAATTAGAATCTATTCATGTGCTGTTTGTAAGAGTTTAGTTACTCCTGCTCAGAAATGATTGTGTTACTATGTTTTGATTTTTGCACCTTCCATACAGAGAAAACACAAACACACACATGTTCTCAGATAAGCACAAGTCTTTCTCACATTGTGATGTTTGTGCCCTCACTGTGTAAAGCTTTAAGTTGTGTTCTGTGCTGTGTTTGAGTCAGCCTGTTGTTTTTGTTCTGCTGGGTCAAGACCCTGTGAGGGTCTCCTGTTCTTTCTTTTGTTGCAGCCATTTTTCCTTTTTGAAATCTTACAAGAAAACATCTCCTCTGATTGGAGTTACAACTTTAGTTTTGGGCCGCTCCGAACTGCTGAGTCAACCTTCTGGAACCAGCTTGTTGTGAGTTTTTCAAAGCTCCTGACCAGCAGGGTTAGGGGTTAGGGGTCAGACTCAAGTGGTTCTATTGAGGGTCGCGGGCCGGCTCTGGTCCCTGGACTTTGCTGGCCAGATGGAACTGATCTTGGAGAAGCTGATTGACGGGCTCAGCAGAACTGTCCACACTATGTGCCTGATTGGATTCACCACATGGAGATGTACCTGCAGAACACTAAAGCAGGTGGAAAACTGTTATTGTCTGCCTGACTGAAAACAGTTTCTCTGTTCCCAAACAACTGATTACAGATTTGTCTCTCCTCTACAACAGCCTTGAAGAGCTGTGGACTAAATTCTTCTTGGATGCTGACGTCTACTGAGGCCCCCCGGCCCCCCCCGGCCTATCATTAATCAGATCAATGGGTGGTTAGGATTAGATACAGCCTCCTGCTACAAGCATGTAGCACCGCTGGTTGTTCAATAGTCTTAATTTTGGGCCTCAGACCGCACCATATGAGGAGAACTCAGGAACAACTGGGACATCCAGGTGTTGGGAGACCTGGTGTCTCACCTGTTGGAAGACCTGGTGTCTCACCTGTTGGAAGACCTGGTGTCTCACCTGTTGGAAGACCTGGTGTCTCACCTGTTGG